TCACTCTTTCTTTCATCAAGTACGAACATTGTACGTGCGCCTTACTACAATGTGTGTGAGTTTTTATTCAAACACGGAGTGTTCCAACCCAAGTAATCCCATATGGAGCTGAAAAATGAACATATACTACTTGAATATACCAAAGAAGCATCATTAATGAGTTTGCGCCCAATGTAGTAACCTGATTGCTTCTGAACTTCGGTTGGTGCATGATGTAAATCGCTACAGTCAGGGTCTCGCAAAGAATGTGCGCATTGACATGCCTAGGCTTTTTCAAATAATATAAGACTTTTTGATGCCACTAAACGGACTAACAATAATCTATGACTCTTTATATATATATATACAAGCTCCTTAGTACTCAAAAAAATGTATGAGGATATTCCTGCTGGGCTCTTCAGAATTTAGGCTTGGTGATGATCTGCAGCATTCTCCATTTCAGAGAATGCGCACCAGGTATACCTTGATGCGTACAGAACTAAATAGTAACAGTTTATTCAATAAACTGTAATACTGTTGTTTTGTGTGTCCGCATAATCATTAATTTGTGCTCTTCTTCTTTTATAGTCATTGCTTTTCTAGCACACTTGATTCAGTCCAGGTATTGAAATAACTTACATCTCGATGATAGAGGGAGGGTAAGTCTATACACAGGAGGAATTAGCAGAGTGAAAATTAAATTAACTCTAGCCCATCTAAAAATTGACAGAAAAAAATGTGCTACTTAGGGGTCCCCTCAAAGTATTGCCTTAAAGCTCATTAGCTTACTTTATATAGTGTTTTTGCCATTAAACACTAATACGGTGTATATTCGTATATCAGAATATCAATTAAACTTTTATAACCTTTTCTGCCAAATAAAAGTTAAAGTAGGATACTAAATTCTAGCGATTGCTAGAGCTCCACGGATTAATCTCTTTTCTCTATTTATGAAGTAATTTTTTTCCAATATTTAAGCTTCGTTATACAATAAAAGAACTATTATTCATCAGTATTATTTTACGTGTAGAACTGAAATCTAACGCTTAATAAGGTGTGTTTACAAATGTATATCCACTTTTCTGTATTGCTATACAAAAGGTCAGAAAAAATGGATGAAAGTAGCTTGATCGATAAAGTCACTGTCTATTTCCTAACATTCTTACTGAAAATCACACAAATGTCATTAAATTCATCATAAAAGCGAATCAATTGAGACACTTGAAATAAAATTGGTGCTACTAGAAATTTTGACGTCTTAAGCTGTCCATGGACTGAATCAAATTTCACTATGTAGATTTAAAAATAAATTAAAACTTTATCTAAAGCGTTTATTTGCATTCTTACAAATTCAGGAAAGCTATTCGTGTAACGATTTCATTATTGCTTACACAATTTGGTGCCCTATATTTCATACTTTCATGTTGAAGACATTCATCTGTGGAGTCGTTATTCTTGTAATCTATTAGTATAAAGTGTAAACAGGAACGATGAAAAACAATACAAGTTGTTTCAATTAACGATAACAGTGCATGCCTAACTACATTTTCATCTTGCAATGTTACATTCTTACTCCAATACAATCTAAACAGGTATATATAACTTAATTTTGACAAAAATTTCATCATTGTTATGCTAGCATTGAAACTAATCTGAATGTCTACTGGGTATTTTTTTTTACATATCCATAGTTTGACGTGTGTTTATGGTATGTGTTCTTCCCGTATTACTATACAATTAAAGGCTCAATAAATATTTTTTATTATTTTTTTTGTTTATTATATTGCGCAATGTTGACGGAGATGCATCATTCGTATCATTTCCGTATACCTGGATATTCTTAATTAACCGTACCTTGTTTCTTTTCTTGAAAACTGTATCCGAATCCTGAATGTCTATTTATTTACCTAAAACTCAAAATCCCTATCATTCCACTGCTTTATAGGAATTTTAGTAAAGATACTCTCTAAACTTATTTATTAAAATTCAATATTACTAATCTCCAGTCAACCTAACTATCTTACGCCAAAAGCGAAAAAGTTAAAGCGAATATATACATTGATTTTAACCATCCTTTTTATTATTTGAGAAAACCTTCTTGTGAGTTTTCCATCAAATACATTTTAAAAACAGTCTGCATAAAACTACTATGAATGAATCCTATATGAACGAACGAGAGCTCAATGCGGAGTTCAAGCTGGAGTCCACGCGGAAGACCGTCGAGACGCTGCAGGCCCAGGTGCAACTGCTGAACATGCGGGTTGAATTTCTGGAGCGCCAACTGAAGGGGCCCACGCCGCAAAACCCGCCCTCGTCGATGGCCTTTCCGCCTTCCGCGCAAGTCCCAATGCCGACCACCTCCAACGTTCTACCCTCCCGGATGTATTACTGGGCCCAGGGCTTTCCCAACGCGAACGGGTTTGGCCTCCCGGAGGAGGAGGCCTACCCCAACAGCGGCAGCCCCAGTACCCGACAGGTCGAGGAGACCCTCAACCGGGTGGGGGTGATCCCCACACTGGGGTTAAAACAACAACAGATTTCAATGCTCATGGCGCAAAAACAGCGGGATGAGGCCGTGTTAGCGATGCTTCAAGGACAAGGCACCCCAACGGTGACCCCTACCACGTTGGGTTCGGGGATTTATCCCTCTCCAACCTCCGCGATTCAGCAGCATGCGATTAATCCGGACGGGATGGCATTTCCTGGGCCTTTTGCCGCCACCACCCCCGGTGTGGCGTTCACAAACCCGAACGCGGTATCGGGGACAGGAGACTCGCGGCTATTTTCCCCAACCACTGCCATGCCTAACACGAATGTAAATGGCCTTTTTAATCAAATCACATCGCAGAGTCTATCCACAACGATAACGCTCGATCCTGCTAGAGCCACTAACGAGGCCCTCGAGCAGGCCTGCCAACAGCCATGGCTAAAGGAGTTGTGTTTGAAAGGATGCAAAAGTATTTCAAACCTCAACCAATTATCCCAGCTACGGAATTTGTGGAAGTTGAATCTACAAGGGTGCGGACAGTTTGTGGATGATTCGATTGTCAAATTGATCAGCACATACAACAAACGTCTGAGCCGACTGAATCTGTGTGGTTGTGAGCTTATTACCGACGCATCGCCTCTTTCCCAACTTTCTTTTTTATTTGATTTGAACCTGTCCGGCTGTCAAATCAACAATGACAGCTTGGCGGCGATTGCCAACGGCTGCAGTCAGCTTAGTCGGTTGGCGATTAACAGCTGCCCGAAGGTGACTGATATCTCCTGCGTGGGGAAACTCAAAGAGCTCAAACTGCTGTATTGTCGCTATTCTGGTAATATCCTGCCCGAAAGCGTCACGGAGGTTATGAAGCAAATTGGTAATGGGCTGTTGACCCTTAACGTCGACGGGTTTAAGTTCGAGGACCTCGACGTCTCGCAGTTCCCACCCGTGACCGCGCTCAAGAATTTTAACCTCAAAGACAACGTCGGGGTGGTCTCCTTAGAGTGGCTAACCTCCGCTGAAGGGGCGAGCAAAAAATTTGCGGTGCTTGAAATGTTGGATGTGGAAGGTTGTGCAAATCTCAGCAAACTCGGCGATCTTTCAGTGCTTTCCTCATTGAAGGTGCTCCGCCTGAGCCATACGGCAATCGATCAATCCGAATTGGTAAAGCTCAACGCCTGCAAATCTCTCACGGCGATTTATATTGAGGGCTGCCAACGGATACAACAATTAGGCTCTCTTGTACATTTACCCTCTTTATCTAAAGTCGTGATTGACCATAAACTTGCTGAAGTAACTACATCTATAAATGGAATCCAAGATCTATCTGCACGAGGAGTAGAAGTAGTGGTATCTAGAAACGCTACAAACTCTGGTCATCGTGGTGGTCAAAATTTTATGCACTCTATTACATCACCGGCACTTTCTCCGACCAATTATTTTATTCCCCCAATTCCAAGCGCAGCCCCTGGTAGCAAAACCTCACCATAATGGTTAATGTATATATATGAATCTATATGTACAGATATACGTATACATTCATAAGTATATTGGTATCAAAAGAAATTTACAAACAGGTTGAGGAAGTCGTAAAAGGGAGTTTTCATTAAATTCTAATGAAAAAGAAAAACTAACAGATAGATATATTTTGGAAAAGAGGAAAACGTCAAGCATGTACAAGTATGCATCAGTAATATATCCCAGTGATATATATACGTTATCCAAAAGTATAGGAAAGCGTGAAATTTCCGTTTTGGCTTATTTGTGTCTTTTTTTGGATTTGAGAGGTTAATTCGTGTATAAGTTTGAATTAATTAAGGCTAAATGATTACAAATTATCTGTCAATACTCTTTGTTTTAATTTTGTTTTCCGAAATTTGAGAGCTTAGGAGATCATTTTACCTTCATTATTCATCTTCAGAAACTGTGCTTTGAAGTAAAGAAACGCTATGATTAAGAAAAAGTAAGCAGATGTGATTCGCTGGCAACAATTTTAGTGTACAACCCCTCATTTCTTTCAATGAGTAGAAATGTGTCTTAATGGCGAGTAAGTGATCAAAAAGAGAGAGAAAACTTATGTAACGAATAGCTCGTATTGAGGTTGTTATAAACATTAAACAGAACTTTTGGCGAGCTAAAATGGATAGATTCATTTGTATGCACTAAGTCTTACTCAACTAAGAAAAAGTTACGTTCTTTTTTGGTTCTTAATCCCTCAAGAATTAAAAAATCCATAATAATTAATTTTTGAGGGGAAAAATGCTTTACTGACGTTGAAAACGATTATATTTTCTTCCCTGTATGATGCAGGGTATAAAAAGATGAATTTTATATAGCTCCTAAAACATAAGTATAGTTGTTTTTTTTCAGTCCAAAGAACGTTACCAAAGTGTGTTAAGTTCGATCGTAATCAAGATCAAAAAAAATCCCTAACTAAAAGTTCATGGTGAAAACATTTTGTTTTAAATACAGTAATACAGACAATTTTAGTATGTATTCATCCTTCAATAACTTGATGATTAATCCTTCTTGATAAAATGACTTCATTGGATAATTATGTGTACCCTTTATTTCTTTTACTTGCCCTAAAGGTGCATAAACATTGTAGATAATATTATACTGAAAAAAAAAGAATCCGTACAAAAAACTTTAATCAGCTGGTTTTATCAGAACCAGCTCAAAGCACGTGATCGCGGACAGTTTTCCACCGATTTATTCCATGTCCACAGATAAAAAATACAGGTCTAATCCACGAACCCATAATATAATCAATAGTACGAACACCCCACCCTTGCCTGATATATACGCCGTGAAGACCGATATGGCTGTGCTGTCTAATGCGGCCAATAAATCACGCTTCATCACGGGCACCACTAAAAAAGCGGCTCATGATATCACTATAGAGGAAAAAGTCGATTCGAAGCATCATGGGACCTCTTTGGCTTCGCCTCGAATGTGCCCGAAGCTATCGATGATTGCCTCAAAATATCCTCAGCTCTCTCGAGAAGCGATCTCCAAACACCTGACGGAGTCTGTGTTGGAGGTGGTGGATGCCATCACCCAAATGCCGGCCAACGCCGAGGCCCCTCGCCGACCGCTTTTATTAATCAAAGAATGGCTGAGCGGGGATGCCGCGTTTGGGTTTACCCCGTCGGTGGTCCTGGAGGGCCTGACGGATTTGATTTGTGTGCTTTCGCGAACCATCCCTCTTCAATGGGATCCTCAGCAATCGATGAAAATAACCGAAACGAATCCTCACAGCCTGGCTGAGCGAAGCGGCATCCTGGGTGAGATTCAGCCCCCTCGAGAAGAGCCTGGAAAGCGCACAACTCCGCACGACAGTACGGTGGTGAACTTTCCAGCGGCCATCCCAACCAAACAAGACCCATCCCCGCAAATTGACTTCACCAACATCCACCCCGAGTCCTTTCTCCCGCCTTTAATGCACCGATCGCGGACTCTTCCCTCTTGGCCATGTGGATATTCCACCTCAACAAACCCTACCTCAACCCTCCAAAACAGCACTTCTGAGGTCATTCACCAAACTTTAGGGCCTCAACAAACCACAGCGGGTCCTTTTAGTTCTGCTGAGCTGACGTCCGGCTTTAACCCTACGGAAACGGCGACCCAGGGGGGGAAATCGAGCACCAAAATGTTGACGTTTCCGCAAAATGCCACCGCGACGCCGGACACGCTCGCCGAGGAAAGCGCCACCATCCACTACTCGCCCTACATCGCGGAGGCGCTGGAGATGCTTTTGGTGTTCTGCGCAAAACCATTAATTTTGCTGACGCTGAAAGACCAGCAAATCCTAAGTAAGGCGGTCTACCATCTGTTCGGCGCACTTGCACGGGTTATTTCGGATGTCAGTGCGTGCTTTTCTCCACCTTCCGCCAATTCGGTGGATACGTCGTCGATCTCCCCAACCTCCCAGCACCCAAATGCCTCGTCTAAGGTCGCACAAAAGCTGCATTTGATGGCGCTTCGTGCGATGCAATCCCTGATCGCCCAACTCCATCCTCAGCGCCACTTTGAACATCTTCATTTATCAATTCAATCTGATAAGGGGAATCCAAAGAAACGAAAAGGAGGGGTGAAGCCACCTTTTCAACGCGATCGTGATCCCTCCATGCCTACAAAGTTAACCGCCTTGTGTGAATTTTTCGATTACTTACTTCAATCCCAAAAGGACTGCCCAAATGCGGACAAGACTCAAGATGAGAACCCTAAATCCGATCAAAGCTGCCCCTTGGACTTTCTTGTAGTGTACTGGAATTCGCTGTTGATTAAAAGTGATCAAGAAACACGCGAGCCGCGTGATTCTACGACTCCGGAAAAGGAAAAGGAAATCACCAAGATCACGTGTTTGACCGAAAACACCACTGGTGATACCCAACCTGAAATCAAGGTAAGCTCAGAAGAGGAACTAAAGGCCTTATTGCAGATATTTGAGCAGCTCTTTTCGAATGCGAAGAAGGCATTTGAATACAAAGAGAGCTTCTCCGGGACTAAAAGAGAGATCTCCAAGAAAGCGAACCACCCGGACATTACACAATTTACGTCTACCATTCCCCTTCTGACGGTCTATACCTTAGGGGTATATGTTGATACGCATAGTAGGGTGACTTCACTCTGTGTGGAAATTTTATCGCTCCTGGTTGACCTCGCGCCGTCCGCGACGTCGCGTATTTTACTTGATATCGCCTATCCATCTCAGGTCAAATCTCAGGAAAATGCGTTAGACGATTCGACCCCGATCGTGCCGTTTAATTATATATTTCACACAATTCTTAGCTTGCTCACAACGCTGCATTCACAAAGTCGACTGGAGCTGCTGAATGATATGCTGTTATTTGTCGATACGATACTGCGGTCTGATACGGATAGTTTATTGGGGCTGCATAAAACTTTAGGGGCTGCGAATAGGAGCACCGGGGAGGATAAACCGCAGGCTGGGAACATTTTACCACCTACGATTGATGCGATTAACGCGTGTATGCTTCTTATTTTTAATGCGGTGTGCAAGGACGATCTCAATAACTCCATCGAACGCCATAGCGTGTGGAAAGCTATGGACGCGACGCTTTTGAGCTTCTGCGAAAGTATGACGCCCAAACGGGAAGCCTGCAATAGCTCCAGAGGCAATGGGGCTTACGAAAAGGTTGTGAGTAAAAAACAGCCCCATCAGTCGTCGCTCGATGAAGTCAACGACGAGTCATCCGAGGGAATATCCTCGACGATGCAGTCCATCCATTTACCCAAAGTGACCGTCATGTCCTCGAAAGAGATGCGCCGCGAACTGTTATATCTAAAGCGCCTGGGTTTGGAAGTGTTGGAACGATTTATGGAATGGCAGTCGACCCATACGGAAGTCTTTGCACTTCAGAAAGAGATTGGGCTTCATTCTCTAACCCCAACCAAGGGAGCGATCTATGAGGGTTATTATCTCTTAGACCTATGCTCTATGGGATTTCTTGACGTGCTGTTCATTCACATCAACCGCGATAAGGATTCCTCCAAGGACATTTATGTTTGCGGTGCTGGTTCTACAAGCCCAACGATAAACAACCACAAAGGATCATTGATCACCGGTGAAGACGTTGAGGCATTGCAGTTGGAGTCGTGGGAGCTTTTGACGGCCCTGATCAAACATACGCACTGTCTACGTGAATTGTTCTTGAACCTGAAGGAAAAAAACTTCTTCCTTGGCGCCGAGCATCATGAGTTGTCAGGGGCTTCGAGTTCTATTTTCATGAACGAGTGCCGAGGACGGATACGCCCAGCAATGAAGAATCTTGCATGCGATCATTATGATTACAATTTTGACTATTGTATTGCATCGATGGGCAGTATTTCATGCGCGATGCGATGCCTCGATCGGTATCGGTATGAATCCTCAAAATCTCCCACTCAACTGGGGTCCGAAGCCGTGCAGATCAACCCGGAGCAGCTGCGTGAACCCCTCTGTAAGGCCGTCTTGACGTTCCTGACATTTCTGTCGCGAAGTGGTATTTCCGGACGAAACATCGGCATGATATTTCTTGGGATGCCCTATTTAATTCAAATTGCGATCGGTTCACTGCAGAGCATTCGATGCCACTACAACTTCATCTTCGGGCTTCACGATAGTCCATCCCAACACTCTACGATAACGCGAAAGGCTGTAGAAATCGATCCGAATTCGTTCTTTTTCCTCCCCGACACGGCTTTGGACACCACGCTTTTACTTTTGGATTTACTCACAAACTTGGGTGCTATCGCGGAGAGCTATGAGGTCCAACTCCCAGAAGCCACAAAGGCCCAACCGTACCTTCGCTATCCAAACCCACTAGAAACTTTTTCCATGGGATCGGAGGCCACGCTATCGGGGTCGTCTGGAAGCCCTAAAAAAGCGGCTTCCGAGGCCACCCCTACGAAGGCGGCGAATCCTTCTTCCGGGCATGAATCGGCGGTCCTCTATCCTACCCCCGAAAGGGATTCTGGGATGGGGGCTGAAAAGACACTGACGCTTCTCTCGACCAAACGCTCCAGCTGCTTCGACAACTTTTCCGACTGCTGTGGGGTGCGGATGCTTTTGGATTGGATTCAATCCATTCTTTCACCCTGCCCACGAAACGCCTTGAATGCGACCAATCTTTCCTTCACGTATTCCCAGCAGAAAGGCCGATCGGCGCTTCCGCCTTTGGATGAAAGCCTACCGCGTTATGGGCCGTTGTTGGCATCGCTTCTGCACGTCCTTCAGAGCTTCATTTTAGCCAACGGCGAAGGTGGGAAAATTTTTATGGAAAGCGAAGGGCTATTTGTCCTGTTGGATGCAGCCGAATCGCTGGTGGTCGCCTCAGGTATTTTGGATGAGAACCCCGTGAGCAATCCGATGCATACCGATAGCTTTAAGGAGGATACGGTTCGATCGGGAACCTTAGAGAATGCGCCCACAACAATTTCAAGTAGTTTTATCGCGAAAGACTCGCCGCTTTTGAATATTGGGTTTGAACAGCTGCGAATGGAGTTGAAAACGGGGATCGCACAATATTTTGAATATCAGACCCAAAATTTCATTGACTACAGTAGGAATTTGCTTGCCTATACTCTGGCCATTCTATCCGACTTGTTATATACGAATCTCATGGCCCGTGAGCACTTTATGCTCTGGCGTAGCCGGCGGCTTCAATCACGCGATGATAAATTGGTTAATTCCACCACAATGGATACTGGTATCAACGCGGTTCAACTTCTGGTTTCGGTGTGGGAATTTGCTTTACGTGAGAACTTTGCCTACACACAAAAAAGTGGCTTCACGCGTGAAGACATGGGGAAAGAGCGTTCAGTGCCCAGCGAAAAGTGGACTTTGATCGAGGAAACCTTAGGGGAGACACCCACCGCAGGGTTGAGTTTACTCCGCGTTTTTATTCGCGATAAGATCAACATGATTCTCCGTCAAGGCTATATTCGTCGCTTAGTACATCGCAAAGCGGCACTGGGGTTGCTACCGGCGTCGATCTACAGTGCCGACGCGCCCTCGTTGACTGATTCGAACTCCGACGCGGAGGAGTTGTCAAGCCCTCGTAGTCAAGAAAGAATCCAAAACGAAGCGACTTTATTGCGATATTACATCTTTGTAAAAGAAGGTTTCTGGATTTTCACCCAGGGAGAAGAAGTGGAGGCCGACAACCAGGGTGGTGCCGCAGGAGTCGAGGATTGGTTTGAGTCGGAGGATGCAAAACAACTCGCGCTGAAGGAAACCCTCACATGGTTGAATACAAAGACGGTCCTCAATAGGAGTTTTATAACGGAGGCGATTAGTGTCTGGTTGAAGGAGCATCTCGGACTAGGGGTAAAGGTTTACAGCTGTCTGGCCGCACTGGGGTTTGGGCGCTTAATCAGCACAGTTGTCGGAAAGGACATCGCCAATTGCACTTTTTCCCAAAGTGGTCCAGATTTGACCCATCATATAAAGGATTCTGGAGAAGAAATGGATTCCATTCCAAACACTCATCCCGCGGATGCTCTTTTGATGATGAAAATGGGTGAATTCCCACTGACTTCTGCAGAGCGCTCACATCTAGTGGTAATGGCTGCTATCCCTTCCTTGTGTATCGATGAGTTGTGCCTTGCAATGTCGAGCACGGCGAAAATATTTCCAACCATGGGCGATACGAATGAAAGCGGCTTGATGGACTATTCAACGATATACCAAAGTCATATCGAACCCAACCTGGGGCTAATACGTCCTACCACATCCGACCAACGCTATCTGCGTGGCATCCTCCCGGACGTGCTGAAGCGCGGCCAAGAGCTTTGCGAGCTTATAAATTTGGGATATAGTCTTGAACAGACGTACCAAACTCAGAAATTAGATCGATTCCTGATTACACGTATTTCTAAGGATCTCTCCAACAAGTATGATAAAGTAAAGAAGACTATTTCATCCAGCGGGAAAGCCAAAAAAGTGGTATGCAAATCTGATATCGCAGAGAACCTGCGTAGGGAACTCTTCCGTTAAGATTTTCCCTAAAACATAAATATTGTTCGGTTCAACGAAATATTAACTGTCAAACTCACTCCAAAGTATGGTATGATTTTTTGATACCAAAATTCGCTGCTTGTTTGGAAAGAAATGCGAAATTTTTTTTAAGAGTCCGTGTAAACTTTCTTTATTTGACGTAACCTTGAATTCACAGTCGGGAAGTTCTCAAACGGCTTTATTAGGCGATGGATGTCATGTAAGGGCACTGAAATATACAATTTCCCCTGTAGCTCCCCACTACATCTTTTACACGTTCTTGGAAGTTGCCAAATCGTAAGGCGCTCTTCTTTTCCCTGATATGTGGTAGCCCAAAGATTCCCTTCGGAAATCTAGTTTAGGAAACTGATGGTAGTGATGACAAAGTCGCACTTTGAACTTTATTTTATATCAAGCACAATAGAAAAAACATGGCGTAGAGAGGAAGTGTACAGTTTGGTCTTTCGTATGTACATCGTCACATTGCAAGAATTAAAATACATATACAGTGTCAATATTTACACAAATAAGTAAAAAATAAGAGAAATGTAAATTACATGTTTTTTTTATGTTGTTTATTCTACAAAATAGAAATCCGCTTTTTGTCAAAGCGATGAATGTATCCGGAAATGTGACATTTTCCCCGATAAAAAAGAGTGCTATATACCAACATATGGAAGTTCGAAAAAAAAAGTATTATATCTGATGAAGGCTCTTGTACATTTTACTCACTTTTTTTATCATTTAAGGATGAAGCCAGAAGCAACGACCCAAAATCTAACAAAACTATTGTGTGTGTGAAAGATCGCATCAACAAAAGCAGTGTATCTGCCGCTGTAAATAATGTTTGACAAGTCAAACTTTGTCAAACATTTCCTACTGAGACCATTTAAAAGTCTACAGGTAAGGGGAATTAGGTGGAATATAGACACCTCTCGTCGATATGCGCACTCTAGAAAGGCAGTTGTACGCTTCACGCTACATCCAATGGGATCTGTCCCTCTCGGAATAGAGGTTACACGTGCCATGAGCTTCCCATTATTGGCGACACGTATTCCGCGTTCCTGTGCATTATTTTCCTCTTTTTGCCACTCATTTCGCGCGTTTTCTAGCACGGCAATCTCCTCCGAAGACAAAAGGAACACCCCTGAGATCAACTCCGTTGATGATATTCCACCAGATGCGAACGAGCTGATCGGTGACCCCCGTTTGCACACATTCGCTCCTTCATCGACTGACCTACCCGAATTTAAAAAACGTATTTTCCATCCCTTTCCGTTGGAAAACATACGTAATGTGAGCCTTATTGCACACGTTGACCACGGCAAAACAACGCTGACCGATGCCCTCTTACACAAGGCCGAGGTGTTGCCGGCGGATGGGGCCACAGGGACGTTTACCGATCGCTTGAGGGTGGAGCAGGAGCGCGGTATTACTGTGAAGGCTCAGACCTGCTCGATTTTCTTCAAGCGACGACGCGATCCGTCCGCGATGTACCCCCTTAAACATCACAGCGATGGGAATAGTGAACGCACGGTAGATCCAGAGGTTTTTTTAATCAATCTTATTGATACACCCGGTCACGTCGATTTTCACTACGAAGTCTCTCGGAGTCTGTGTGCTTCTGAGGGCGTTGCGCTGCTTGTGGATGTGAATCAGGGTGTGCAGGCTCAAACAATGACGCATTTTCTCACCGCTCTCGAGCAGAACCTCGCGGTGATTCCAGTCTTAACAAAGATGGATCAGGTGATAAGTAGTGATGTCGTGGAACGGACCCTCACAAAGCTAGAAGACAGCACTGGAATTCTGCGCCGCGAAGTGATTTTCACCAGTGCAAAAAGAAAAAAAGGTCTAGAGGTGCTTTTCCAGAGTATTATTGAGCGAGTACCTGCTCCACGCGGTCTGTATGGATTATCGGATATCCACCAGCTTCCCCCGATGTATCCAGGTGGCGAGGAACAAAGGCTCGCGACGGAGGCCCTCGTACCACTACGAGCCCTCCTCTTCGATAGCTGGACCGCTCAGAGCAGTGGAATGAGTCCTAAACGCGTTAATGTTGGGTTAGGCGAGCCGAACCCTCCACCGACCGGCGCCCCCCCTCCTCCGCGGGATGCCATTGTCGAACGAGAAGGCATCTACTGCCTGGTGCGCGTGATAGACGGCACCGTCACCCCCGGCACGGTGGTCACGTTCTTTCGTTCGCGTAAGACCTACAAAGTGGCGGATGTGGGGATTATCCACCCCACCCTCCACCCGATGCCCGCCTTGACGGCCGGGATGGTGGGCTACCTCTTTTTCCCCGAGCTCCGTAAGGGCGAGGTGCCCATCGGGGACACCCTTTGCACCCTCCCGACTCGGCGCTACCGACTGGCGGGGCAGCCTACCCCCGACGCCAAATCCCCCACCGCAGCGGCGGAAACGCCCGACCTCGCGCCGCGGCAGCCCAAAGCCGCGATCGAACTCGGTGAATGCGAGGCGCCGTTGGGTTCGACGACAGGGACCGTTAGTGTGCACCCCGTTCCCGGCTTTCGCGCGGTGCAGCCCGCCGTCTTTGCGAGTTTTTTCCCCGATGAAGGGGTCCTCATCGCGCCCCTTCGCGAGGCGGTTGAGCTTCTCTGCGTCAACGAGCCCGCTGTGACAATAACGGTGGTGCACTGCCAGACCCTCGGGACCGGCCTGCAGCTTGGCTTCCTCGGCCTCCTCCACATGCAGGTTTTTAAGGAGCGCCTGTTTGACGAGTTCGGCCAAACGGTGCTCGTCACACCACCTCAGGTCCAGTACCTCTACGTGAAGCAAGGGGGCGATCTTGCGGATGGGCGTCAACGCGCCCCACTTACGGTCGCGAACTGGCGATGGCCACATGAAGGGGTCAAGGCGTACTTGGAGCCCGTCGTACACGTCAAGGTCGTTGCCCCTAAGGATTGCGTCTCGGAGATCAATTCCGTGGCGTTATCGGACTACCGCGCGGAGAAAGAGGACACCCAAACGGTTGACAACACTCGTGTCCTCATGCGCTACCAAATGCCTCTTGCCGAGCTTGTGCGGGGATTTTTTTCTGTGGCGAATAGTATCTCAAAGGGCCATGCTACACTTGAATATGATGATCCCGTGTACGTTTGCGCAGATCTTGTAAAGGTGGATATTCTCATTAACAAAGCCAAAATATCAGCGCTCTCCTTCATCTGTCTACAACCCGAAGCCCACTCCCGAGGTCGCCGCATCATCAGTGTTCTCAAGGAACACATTAACCGATCGTCGACCGATCTACCACTTCAGGCTGTCATTGGAAACAAAATTATTGCACGAGAAACTATCAAGGCTTACCGTAAGGATGTGACTGCCAAAATTCACGCTGGTGATATCACCCGAAAGCAGAAGAAATGGAATGATCAGAAGAAAGGTAAGGAGCGCATGGCAAGGAGAAGGTTCGGAACGGTAATGCTCGAACAGAGTGTGTTGACGGCCGCCATGGGTGTAACAACTGTTTGAAAAAAAAAACTCCTACGCGTATAGTTTCTATTTTGTACTGGAATTTTTCCACCAAGTCTTTATGCATACGATGTAGTGATTTCATCTCCAGGTGAATCCATTACACAAAGTTATATTGCAGTTGCCTTTCTAAATTACCTGGGAAGAAAAGAGGCTGACTTCTGTGTAGAATATTTCGAGAAATCAAAGGCGGATTTCTACAAAATTTTTACTCTGTTTTATTTTATCCCTTCCACTCTCCATCCCACACATTTAGTTGTAGCATATCTTCAATCATTCTCTTTTTTCCTCTATTCTTATACAAAAACTAATCTTGTTTTAATATGTCTAAAAGAGACTAATAAAAGGTATTGGCCACATCACAACAATAAAAAAATCTAATAATCCTACACCATATTTTCATTAACGTCAACTGAAGAGATCTTGCTGTAGTGTTAGTAGCATTTTTATACGCATAATGAAGCGGCTTGTAATAGCTTACCGATCAAACAATATGAAATGTGGTATTCTAGGTTGGTCTATCTCACGACGTCTTTCCTCGGACAAATATATAAACAAAAAAGTTAAGGAAAAGCTTCTCCATGATGATGACGGTCATTGGATTGAAGCTGAAATGGATAAGAATATTAATGCTCCAGAGGAGCAGTACGCTCATGAAAAAGAAATGGAACTCCTTAAAAAGATGGCCAAGAAGATAGAGAAGGAAAAAGAGGAAGATATAAATAAAAAGAAGGATTCCTAGTCTAGCCTCTTTTTGAACATAGTCTAAATAAATCGATCATTAAGAAAAAATACTAATCAGCTGAAGACCTGGTTGCACATAACTTATAGATACTATATTAGCATTTTTTGATTTTATAACGAAGTGATGCTACACCCTTCTCCCTTAAAACAAATGAATATCAAATACCTATTTGGAAAGTAACTTGCGGATGCTATCGTTACATACTTCTCTACATTATATAAACTCCTTATGGACGTGAATAGGAAAAACAATCTCAATTAAGAATGACAGAATTTAGCTATTAGAGACGAATAGCGGCTTTCATATGTCAGTGAAAACAAAAGAGGTAGAATCATCTTGATTATATATTTATTTATATTTATAGGAATATTTTCTATTTAGTAAGTAGCTGTATATGTTAAATTATACTTGATATTTTTTTATTATTTTACCACTGATTTAGACTATTCAATTTAGTAAATAATAATATAAAGTTAGGAAACCTAAAACATATCTGTTTTGGAATTTGTGGAAGACCAAATCAGATAAAATGCTCATAGGTAATTATTTCAGATTTTATTTCACTCCTTATAGGTATTAATTATATTAGATATTCTTTCAAAGTTTTTCGGAAGTAATTAAACTTTTTTGAACCTATGCTTAGTATTGAAGGGAGAGGGCACGAGTACTTGCATAATTTGCTCATATTATATAAGCGTCTTCATTCAATTAAATTGTTCAGTAAACGTATTTTGTTTGTGAGTACCTTATTATGGTCTGTTTATTGTTTTTTCATATTCACGTTTAATTCCATTTTATTCACCCCTAAAAAAAAAGAGCAACAACTGCAGAAAGGGTATACTTAAAAATCTTCATTATAATAGCACACTTAAAAAAAAACTTGTTTCCTTTTAGATAAAAGCACTTTGGGAGAAGTGATCATGGACTCCACAATAGGGAAGAATGGTTTCACTCGCGAAGACAGAGATTCATGCCGGCATTTCTATAGAGATTTTACCAACAAGGAATATCATTTGTTGGTTGCTTCTCTATGGCATGGACTTTTCTTCCCCTCAATCAAATCTACAACACTACAAAGCTCCCTTAACACCTGCCAGCGTTCATTACCTGGCAAAGTGCAAATTAATGAGAAAGACGGTGCGCAGATAGATAGCAAAGGTGTTCTTCGACTGCTAGAGGCAGCCGGGTATTATGGCGCTCGGAATGTCCTTCTTCAATTAGAGAAAGTCCTCACATCGGATTTTGATAATTTGAAGAATCCATCTTCGGCTTTGGTCACTAATATCAAATCCAGTGTTGAAGAAAATAATGATATTGATGGGAAGAAGGAAGTAAATGTTGATATCGATGAAGCACACAAATTTACTTCATCTTTACAGCAATGTTTCTGTATGTGTGCTGCTGAATACATAATTCTCAATTCTGGCCCTCTTTTAGTTTCCTCGCTGGAAAAAGAGAATGACCCTCCAACTAATTTTACCCCTCTTCAGACTGTTCTTCAGATGGCTTTGGATAGGCATCTGCGATATCAACAACAATGCCAATCTCTTTCACCTGAATATACCGATGAACTTTCTAAGTGGTTCTCAGAAATCGCACATGTTATCATCGGTAAGGAAGAAGGTAATCTGGGGGTAAACAAAGCGATAAATCCTATTGGAACAATCCCTCGTTTGTTTAAGCTGAGTGCCATTAAAGAGGATGGAGCTTCTTCCATGAAGACACATGCCTCAGACGTCGGGGTTACATTTCAAGGGCAACAATGTTTACCCCATATATTCCACATCTCCATGCTATACGGTGCGCTTTGCATTTCCTCTAGCTACACTGCTGTTCGGCCGCTTGCAGTGTTGCTTACGGCTTATATTTATCAAGACTGCTCTTCTATGAAACAACTACTGTCGAGCACTACCCATCACACTGATTTGACAACAACACTTTGCACAGGAGATGTTGATAATGATTTTTCATCCCTATTGGCACTCACTCGCTTACGTGGAGTGATCTCGGGAATATTGGAGTACACACTACGCTTTCAGGATGCTGATCCTATTGCTGTGCGCCATGCTCTTGATCGCCTTATGGGAGAAAAGAAAAACGATTCTGGTGATGCGACTTTGTTAGAAGGGATTGCTTCTGAACCCGGGAAATCATCAGGCCTCCTCCAATCGGCCGTAATTCTTTTTATGCAACTTATTCAAGAAACTGTAGAATGGACTACAGCGCGGCGTGCTTTAGGGACGCACAGCGTTCCTGAGCACGGTCTTGATGAAAAGACATCACCACTGGCAACTGGCGACGCCGAGCCCGTAATGGCGGCAAAGGAAATCGTTCACGCGATTCAGGAGTTGCTCTTTACGGTTGTTCTGGGTGCGGGGACGCGGCACATGCCCAAACGCCCATCGGTATCCACAGCGGTGAAACCACCACAAGCGAACAAATCCACCCATACGACGAGGGGCAAACCAAAGCCCTTTCCGGCGATTGCCGATCACTGGATGGTGACGACACGGCGTGCGCTCACACTCGGCGAGGCGGACGCCCTCTCTGAGGAGCTGTTTCCTGCCGTATTGCAGCAACTAGGTTGGGAGTGGCCCTGGTCCGAGCTGCTCCGTCAGTGCCGCATGCTTGACAAGCAACAGCAGGCCCCACTTTTCCCATTAGTGGCTTGGGGTAGTCACCAGCTCTTCGATACCGTCTTCATGCAAGTCGCGCAGCGCACGTACCCGAAGCGTCTGCAGAATGTCCTGCCCAGAAGCTTTGACAGGACGTTGGAGGCGTTGCACGTGCTTGCGGCCGCCCCCGCGTCGACCTCCAATGGTGACGTCAATGCTAAGGAGGGCACGGCCGGCGAGGGGCTCCGCTCCCCCCAGCTATTCCCCATGCCATCCTACTACGCAGGCGCGGGCGACGCCGTGGTGAGCTACCTCCAACTCTCCGGGATCTCCGGGGTGAGGGCAGCGGAGGTGGAGCGCGTGCTCTCTCAGACAACCAGCACCTTGCCCATAATTGTTCAGCTCCGGGCCCTTGCTCCTCCCACCACCTCCCGGAAGGACCGCGGGGGGTGCGAGGACAGCAACCAACAGGCAGACAATGAGGAAAGTGCAATGCAGGATGGACAAGGTGAGCGCTACCTACTCACAGCGGAACGTGTGGTAGAGCTGGAAGCCCGGTACTGTGCCGAAGTGCTTCTCGCTTCACTAGTTGTATACACACAACTCAGCCTACCCAGCCAAGTCCAAAACCTCATGCGGATTTTTGCACCACTTTTTGACAAGCTGTCCTCCTTATGTTCCAGGAGCTACTCTTCCTTTACATCATACCTTATCGTTCCCTCAACTACTAACAACACCTTGTTTCACACGAATGAAAACAATAATGCTGACTCAGCATCTGTTTTCGGCCTGACCTTTGCCAAGGAGGCGGAGCATCTGATCAACGCGATTGGTTACCAATTTTATCCCCTGGAGTGGATGCCCGCGGTGGCGGCCGCGTATTACAATTCCATGAGTACCACTTCTTCGGAAAGAAATAATAATAGTAGCAACACGAACCAATGTATTACTTCTTCAGCACTGCCCTACTCCATGTTTGCCGCTGTTGCGCACCAATTCGGCACTAACTTCAACATCGCACTAGGAAGCAGCGGTATGCCCTCACAGAGACATCCTGCTGGTGCCTCTTCCACTCTTGTGGTACCATCCTTCATGACCTCTAAAAGCACTGGAGCTGTTTATTTTGACAACAATATCCGTTCAAACATATCAGACCATAATGTAAACAGGATAGTACACTGGAAGCGTGCCGAGCTTTTCTTACAAGTTCTCTTGTTAGACTGCTTTTTATTCAGCAGAAGCTCTTCCTGTGAATTAGAAGGCACTATGGCCGTGGCCGCAACGCGACGCGTTCACACCTCGACTGGAAGTACGGTTTCTGGCCACGAGAGCCCCCTCTTGAGGGCAACTGGAAACCTTCAGCCTGGTCTTTTGGAGGCGTTTTGGACTCAAAAAGCCATCTCTTACCCTCTACTAGGCAAGGCTGAGGTCAAAAGTGAGGATGTTGTACCAAGCAATTCGAATAGAACTAATGACAATTCCTCACTGAAGCGAACTCGTCAGGAAAGGTCGCAAGTACCTTTTCCTGCAAGAAGAAACAGTGAAGCTATAAAAACATTGGTGGATGTACTATCCAACTATGGTGCTGCTTCTTTTTCAACCACAATTGAATCTAAGGATATCATTTTGGTTTTGATGCAATCCTTTCTTCCCTGCACAACATTGGTGAAAAATGGAGGTGATAAAGATACTATTTTAAAAGTTCATTCTAAAACGACCTCCTCACAGCTTCTGAGACAAGCATCTGCATGGGCCCAGGAGATGATCAGCTCACAAGCCGATCATTCACGAATGCAAGTGCTACTCCGACAAAAGTTGCAAAGCTCTCAGACTTCATTCCCTGTATCATCGCACCAGATTCATAGCATTTACCATACAGTGTTCAACAGCTGTACCTGGGATTCATGTAGCCTTGCACGCCGTATATTTCGGAAAATACCATCCCGTATGCTCGAGAAAACCAAGCTTCGGTGTTCAATTATGGATCAATTAACAAAGTGGCGCGATGTTTGTCTTCAGGCAAATCCCGATTCAAATGCAACTTCAGATCTTAAGACCCCATCACAAATCAAAGAGCGTGAAAGCGAATGCATTAACGCCGATGTGGATCCCCTTTTGCGATATCAGTGGCTACAGTGGAAGAGTATTTTAGACAAGCTCAACTGGAAAACTCGAGGGACTGGTGCTGAGTTTATACAAGATTCTTCTATACACCATGCAGAGGTCCCTGCTCTAAGTACTGCTCAATGGTTATGGTATTCTCCATATTTTACACAATCGCTGTGAAAAGCTTGTGATATCAGTCTGTACAAGGGTGGAACGATTATAAATAATGAAGAGAGTGAAAAAAAAGTAGCGAGTATTTAAACTCTTTACCATTAACTATACTAAAAATGTTCCTGTGATGCGTTCCAGATTCTCTGTTAAAACGTCATTTTTCCCGATCAACTTTTCCTTAGTCCTTTTTATTTCTTCTTTATTCTGTCACTTATTTTATAATTTTTTCTTCAGTTGCTTGAAATTTGTGTCGTAGAAAAAAAAACGAGTTAGTGTATCCTAATAGAGTGGGGAAAAGGGTGATACATTGGTTTACAGATTGAAAGCTCACTATATCATAGAATTCTTGACTACGTAAGAGTCAACGATAGGGCATAGAATATTCTGGTTGGCATTCTTTTCTTTACAGAACCATCCAAGTAAATAAGAAATCAATTGTGAAGAAAACTTAATTATGAGTGTTACAGACGATGCGGCTTTGAGGAATTCATTGAAGCTTGGTGCGGGCCCAGGCTTCACCACCAACGCACCTTACACGCTAAGCGTGTCCGAACTCCGTACTGCGATGCAACAGCATCTTCGAAAAAATGGCACCCTAAAAACGCTCAAAACTCATGTCCGGGGCATGATGCTCACGGAACTTATGCATCAACAAAAGCGTTTTCAGACGATAGCTGCACAGCGGCGTGCACCATCTGACAAAGACGGAGTGATATCCCCTGAGGCCTTTGAACAGCTTCGCATAAATGGAAAATGCGATGGTATCCTTGGAGAACCCTCACAGCTAACAGATCACTCGCTTCCTTCCTCCTCTTCGCCTTTTGCTACCTGGTCGAGTTGCTTAGCTGATACATTGATCGAGGAACACTTGCGTGCCACCCGCCGTAATATGACTTTGTCGATTTTCTCAACCGAAGTTGAGGTGCCGCCTCTAAGCAACATCGGGGCGCCGTCCGATGAACGAGAACGTCTTGAGCAACTTTTGTTCATACCGAACTCTTCCACAAAAAATAATCAAGTAAACCCTCTAGAGGATCATGACCCCCCACGCGTTAGTGTGCTGCAGCGGTTGGTAATGCAACGCCTCATGAAGGTCGATACCCAACACTTGACTCACCGCAATGAACGCGGCATACAAACTGATGACGGTTTGGTAGTCCCCGCCGCGAGTGAAACCTTCGCCTCGTTGGAGTGTCGCCTGGCCGCGGTCGACGCCAAATACGCATTGACCTTTTCTCGGCTAGGTCATAGCAACGATCCGGTTTTTTTTACCCGAGCCGAGGTTGAACGCCGCTTGAACTCATACAAGAGTGATATTCATGAGCAGTTGAGGAGGGAATACCAGCAGAAACACAAGCTCTTTGAAGAAAATAAACTGCAGGAAGTTAAGGATTCACTTGAAGCACGATACCGGCTCATGATACAGAACAAAAATGAGGAGCTCCGGGAGATAGAGCGAACCCTTTTGGTCAAATATGAGCAGGAGCAGCAACGTCTTCAGCATTCTCGTGAGGATGTCGAACGGCAGCGCTTGGAACTTGAACGACGCCAGAAAGAAATGCGTACCGTCGTCAACGATTACGAAGCGCAACTGACTGAGCAGGAAGCGATCCAGAATGACCTGCGCGATAAACTACGCGTGGCGCAACTGCAATCAGCGAGATGGGAAGAGCTTAGTGGGTCGCGGTTGATGGAAACAGAAGCCGTTCGGAGCCGAGAGCTGCGCCGCGTCGATGACATACGCCGCATGCAAGCCGATCATGCGGCTGAACTGCGATTGAAAAACGAAGAGATTTCACGCCTGCGGTTTCGTATGCGCGTCTTAGTGAATCATGCCAGCGATCGTGGCACCAAAAGCGGTGCCAAAGCAGACGATAAGGCGCCCGAAGTCGTCCAAGATGATCTTTACGGTATGTTAGTGCGGACCGAAGAGCTTCAGCGGAATGCCTTGCAGCAGCAGCAAATATGGATTGAACAGGCCTCCCGAGAGCAACAGCGAAACCAAGAGCATTGGGGAGGCGCCACGGCCTGGGAGGCCCCTGCACAGGTAACTGTCACCTCCCCAACGCCCCCGCCGGCTGCGGCTATTCAATCAGTCTGTGAAACATGGGAAGCTCCTGCCGCCACCGTCTCTCCGCACACCGCAGTAGATGTGATTTCCGAGGAAAAAGCGACGGAACCCGCGGCCAAGGTGCCGCCAGCAACACAACCCCCACAAAAGACTGATCCTTCACATGAATCGGCATTGGTGGTGCGCAAGTCCCCTGATGACAACACGTCTCAATCATCCCACATCACCCCCGCTTCTGAAAAGCCTGCGAAGAACTTGTCTTCTACATCGTCATCAGATGAAGCATCTCAAAAAGGAAAGAAAAAAAATACTGTGAATAAACCCCTAGTTCTCTGGAAAACTTCCACTGGGAGCTCGTCTGTTTCATTGATCTCATCGGATTCTTCTTCGGATACTTCTAAATCGTCAGAAAGAACTAAGAATGAATCGAAAAAATCCGATGCATCAAATACGTTGCGCGATGTCGCTACTAAAGAGGCCATCAGTAAGGCTGCTGCTCTTGAACAAATCCTCAAGGAAGAAGAAGCTTCTCGAAGAGAGATCCAAAGTGATGAAGACAACGCGCACAAAGGCGTTGTTTGGGCAGAGAGCTCACAGAGAAAAGTGGTCAAGGCTCAGCTGACGGAAAAACTAGATGATGATAATATGAATCATGGTGGTGAATCACGTGGTAATGATTTTTCCATTAGCCGATTCGTAACTCCGCAGCAACAATATGAGGATACAAACATCATTTTTGGAGACTCCGATGACGACGAGGATCTTGACTTATTCAACAAGGATTCTACAAGTTCATCGTTTTGAAATAGAAAAGGAGAAAAGTAAAACTAAAGCGACATGCTATTGCCACTTCAACACATAGATGAACGGCATGTTGTTTGTTTGTTGAATGCCTAGAATGTTTTCTCCTGTTTTATAAATCTGTTCATTTTTGAAGAAATTACAAAATTAAGCACATCATCAAAACCTTTTCAGTTTATATTTATATAAATATAAATATCTATTATTATTATTACAATGCAAGAAAACCGCATTGTGAAGCTCTTTGGTATTAAGTACCCTATCATCCAGGCTGGTATGATTTGGTGCAGTGGCTGGCGTTTAGCTTCTGCTGTCAGCAATGCCGGTGGGCTTGGTTTGATCGGTGCAGGTTCAATGAACATTGACGTATTCAAGGAAAACATTCAAAAGTGCAAAATCGCCACAAGCAAGCCTTTCGGGGTCAACCTTCCTCTCTCCCACAATGCCAACATCTATATTGAACACATTCTTGAGGAAAAAATTCCGATTGTCTTCACCTCAGCGGGTAGCCCCAAAGTGTGGACCAAAACCTTTAAGGATCATGGGATCAAGGTCGTGCATGTGGTCCCCAGTAGCAAACTTGCCTTGAAGTGTCAAGACGCTGGCGTTGATGCCGTCGTCGCGGAGGGCTTTGAGGCAGGTGGACACAACGGTCTTGAGGAGATCACGACAATGACCCTCATCCCACAGGTGCGGCGAAACCTCTCACCGGATATACCACTCATCGCGGCGGGTGGAATCGCGTCTGGTGATTCTATTTTTGCTGTGATGGCCCTTGGTGCGGAAGGCGCGCAGCTTGGCACTCGCTTCGCGTTAACCAAGGAGAGCGCCTGTTCAGAGGCCTTTAAAAAGTATGCCTCGGAAGCTCAAGAGGGTGATACAGTACTCACCTTAAAAAAACTCATGCCGACGCGTCTGCTGCTTAATAAATACGGCAAGGAGATCCAGAATATTTCGATTAGTGGCGCCACAAAACAACAATTGGAAGAATTCCGTGGTAGAGGCCGCACACGCCAAGGCATGTTTGATGGTGATACCGAGAATGGAGAGCTAGAGATAGGTCAGATTGCATCCTACTGTAGAGATATCCCGTCTGTAGAAGAGCTGATGTTGCGTTTGGTCGAGGAATTTAATAATACCAATGCAAGACTTTCCCATTTAAAGATTGAATAGCGGTATACCAACATATGTGCTGGTGAATGTATCCTTTTTACAAATAGTTTCATATTAACTTGCGTTTTGGAAGTTTCGACAGTTGATAATGAAGATCAAGTAAACGCATTCTTATATTTTTATATATAAGTAATATAAAGTGACAATGTTTAGCCTTCCTTATTTAATACTTCAGTATATTTTTCCATTTTTGAATTCGTGATACTGTTTAAATTGATTCCTTTTTTTGTTCGGAATATTTACTGACTTTGAAAAAGTGTGAATGTACCCAAGTTACCCACCCCACGATCTGCGCGCATGTGCATATATTTCCCTCCACTCATTTGTTTTGAACTTCCTGTTACTTTACTAAACTCAATTCGTGAATGCATCTGGAGACTGATGAAAGGAATGAGAATAATAATATTAAAATAAATAGGAAAAAAAATAACGTACGCGATTAAAAGGATTTCAAAAAAAAGATTTTGTCCTTTAATATTAAAAAGTGCTAGAAAAATGCGTACCACTATAGAGGAAATCGATGATGAACAACAGATGCAACTTTCAGCACATCAAAATATTATCAATCGTCTTACAGGCAAAAATAACATCTGTCCAGACGCTGTGACCTCTGCTGAGGATAAGGATCATTCACCTATCCCCGTATGTCCAGCTAATTGTCTCACCAAAAGTTATTTTAACTCACCAGAAAGAGGTATAATGGCATCTGTTCAAGCCACACATGATGACCTTCTTACTGGAGAGGTTCAATCGTTTCGGGATCCAAACAGCATCGCTTGTGGCTCGTCTATTGGCCGAACATACAGTAATAGCAAGCCAAATGGTGAATTGAACCATCACACTCGTGAAGTCTACAGATATGGGGGATACCTATCAGTACGTACACCACTGGATGGTCATCTCCGCGGTGGTCATTTACCTGTACCGCTTCACGACGACATCAGTCTCATCAAAACGCCTATCGACAGTGAAACTGAGCATAACCATCTAAGCTTTTATAATGAAGGGGCCTCCCTTAGCTCTGAGAAAGTTCTGCATGAGTCTGAAAAAGAGGCGAAGCAGGCGCCTTTTCTCTTTCCCCCGGTGTTATCAGTTGAAGATATCACCGCTACAGGGTACTCAGATTCATGTATTTTTCCTTCCGAAAACACGTCCTCAAAATTTGTGTCTAACAAATATCCACTGAAACCACCACAGACAAACCTGTCCTACAAATTTACCGGTAACACCATAAGTAGCTTGCTCCCACCACCCGTCCCGGAGGAGCAAATGGCAAGGCCGCCATTGCAATCTCCTATCCCTGGTTTCACTAGAGAGGCCACAACCCAATTGAACGACTTGGCATCACGCCCCTACCACCACAGGGCCCTAGTATCGCCATCCTTAAATGTCGAAAAAAAATCCTTCAATGCCATGCCACCGTGTTTATCGTCTCAGGGTAACGGAACCCGTCGAACCAAGTTGCCTCCTCCCCCTCCAGACTTACCTGTGCCGCGATACTCGGACGGTCCATACTCGGGAGCATCTGGTATTGCCGATTCGCCCTATGTGGATCCTTGGGAGCAGAACTCCTACACCTCGAGCCACATGCGCCATGATGGTCGTGTGTTGCATAGCTTTTTTTCACAACGTTGGGAGGAGCAAAAGCGTAGGTACTCCACGTCTGTTACGCACCAAAACTTTCCACAACATCATGGAACGGTGACTTCTGTAGCACCAACTAAAGACAGTCGCACGAATGCATCTATCGAAATCTGGAAAAGCGTTATGGACAGGAGTGACGCATGGTCATCTCATACCCAGAGACCTAAGAATGACGCTCCCACTTTTTCGTCTACCGATACAGCCTCAAATCGCTTGGTGTACAAGCAAGCCCACAAAACCAAGCTTCAGTCACCTAATGGCAATGAGAATGCTGCTGCAAGGAGTGAGGTGGGATCTACCACAACCATGTACACTTCTCATGCTCAACGAAGGCCTCGCTCCTGGTCTGTTGAATTTGATACACAGGACGAATTGATGAGTGGTGGTACATCCTATTTTATTTCTAAGTTAAACAATCCAGGATCGAGAGGGGTGCAGGAACGCAGTGCGGCCTCGAATGTGTGGGCTTCCACGGATGAGGCCTGCGTGGAAAGTCGTGATGGAGTAAGAAGCAAACCGCAACGCCTGCGCCAGAGTTATATTAATGGAGACACGCACAACCCCC